TTTGAACTAGGTGTGTTTCTTGTATACAGCATATTATTGATTGTGCTTCTTAATCTATTCTGCAAGTCAATTTCTTTTGATTGGGGAATTGAGGCCATTAACCTTAATGGTTATAACTGAAATTTATTGACTTATCATTGTCATGTTATTGCCTTGTTGTTGGCCCTTTTTAATTTTTCACCCTCTCCCTTAAACTTCTTGCATTGCCTAATGGATTTGCTCTGTTGGGCCTGATGCAGTTGTTACCTTCATTGTCTTTTTCTAGAATATTGTTTAGAATTGTTTGGAATGTTGGTTTGTTATTCATGAAGCTTCTCAGGTGTTCTTTGTCATGAAAGAATACTAATTCCCCACCGAGTTTTAAAGATACTTTTGCAGGATACATCAGTATAGGTTGGCAGTTGTTTTCTTTTAGGGCTTGAAATACCTCAGTCCAGGCTCTCTTTGACTTGAGGGTTTGTGTTGAAAGGTCTGCTGTGATTCTGATGGGCTTTCCTTTGCATGTGATTTTATTTTGTAGTATTTTGTTCTTCTGTTGGGTTTTCAGGATCTTGATTATTATATGTCCAGGTATAGATTTTTTTGATCATGGCTGGTTGGAGTACTATATGCCTCAATTATCTATATGTCACATTCTTCCCCTCTGTTTGGGAAGTTGGTTGTTATTAATTCTGTGAAGTTTTTTATGTCATTTGTACATTCTCCTGCTTTTTCATGGACTCCTATCAGTCTTATAATATTCTTCTTTGCCTCATCTACGAGCTGTTGGATTGATTTCTCATAGTCCTTTACTGTTTTTAAGAGATCTCTCTTTTCATGGTCACTGACCATCATTCTATCTTGTATATCTGATATTCTGTATTCAGATTGGCTTAGTCTGTTGTGTGTACTTTCCATAGCATTTTGTTTTTCTCTCCTAGATATCTGAATCTGTTTCATGGTTTCCATTTTTTTCTTATGCTGGGCATTCATTGCTTCTATCATGGTCCAAGCTCATGTATTTTTTTAATCTGTTTATGTTCTAGAGTCTCTGATCATGTCTTTTTGTTGTGCTCACCATCTCTGTAGTTATCTGGGAAATTATTTCTGTTTTGAATTTTTCTACAGCCTCATTCACCTGTTCCATTACTTCCTGTGCTATCAGGTCAGGGCATCCTGGTGGTTGGTTGTCAGACTTTTCCATCTCATTTCCCCTAGAATGTGCCTTTGATGAGCTGGAAGTCTGTGATTGTGCCTTGCTTAAATGTTTTCTCATTTCTATTTTTGTTGTTGGTGCTATCCTCGGTTTAATTCCTGGGATAATATTTTGATCTTCCAGATATAGCTGGTCTTTAGGTTTTGAGTCTCTAATGACTTGGAGACACTCTCATTTCCATAGTGACAGGAATTAGATCAATCACAACACTTTAGCCCAAGTGATACAATCAGCAACATCAAGCACAGCTTAGAAAATGACAATTTGTAGTCATTATTAATCTATAACCTTTAACTGTGTGAATTAAATAAAAATCAAGGACCAACCAAAATATGTTTATAATGAATAAACTCTTCAATAGAGAAACTTTACCCTTAAAGAGGGAGACTTGGAAGGAGTTGGGAAGAGAGGGACAGACAGGTAGAATGATAGGAGAAGATTAGAAGTGAAGCCAGGGGAGACAGGACGATCAGGCAAACTCTAGGAAAGTGTTCAAGACAAGAGAGAAAGACAGAATGAAAAAACAAAGACAAGAATATAACAAACTAACTACAACAGGGAAGCTAAAAACTGTACTCACTTTTCTTTGAAACTAATGACAATCAAGAGAAGGAAAAAGAGAGAAGAAAATTAAAAAGAAAGAAGAAATCCAAATTAAGGCAGCAACAGGAACATAAAGAGAGATGAAGAACAATGTGGGAGAGTGAGAGATTGAGTGGGAAAGAGAAAGAAAAGAGAACAAATAGAAAAAAAAAGAAAAAAGGAAGAATTTGAAGAGTGGGAAAAAGACAAATTAAAAAGTAAAAATTAATAAGAGAAAAAGACTAAAAGAATAATTTTTAAAATAACAAAAATGAAGGTCCTCCTTCAGGTTATGTCTCTGCTGTCACAATGGACAATGTGGGCAGCAGTGTGCAGTTCTATGTCATTAGTCTCATCAAGCCAGCAGCAGACCCTTGAGATTCAGGATAATTTCTGGGTGCAAAGCCTAGGTTGAGCTCCCTGACCTCCTGCAGGGTTAAACTTTGCAAGGTTCTACTACAGGTTCCAGCTGACCTTCCCCTGAAGATAGTCCAGGTTCTAATGGGAGGTAGTGATTCCTCTAACTTACCAATCACTGTGGTCATGTGTGCCTTTAATGCAGACATTCTTTTAACTTTTTCAGTGGGCTTCAATTTTCATCAAGGAGCCTGAGAGAGAGGCCCTTTTTCTGTTGTTCACTTATGCTCTATCTTCTGGAGCATAGTATAATGGCCTTTATGATCTCCTGTGCCTCTGTGGTATGGACCCAGATGCTGGAACAACCAGGAGGCCAGAGGCAGGGTGGTGGTAGTACTGGGGTGATGCTGTGGGTCACCCGTATGGCTCCACTCCTCATTAGTCTGTGCTTCTTGGAGGCCTGGGGTGCTGGGGGTGGTGTAGCTGTCTAATTTCACGCAGCTCTGGAACTCCTGGAAAAACTAGTTTGCCATGTCAACTCTGCCACTACTGAATTTGGTTATTATGTCTAGAAGACTTTTGCTGGACTTCTTGGGATTTCTATATAGAGTACCATATGGTCTGCAAATAATGGCAGTTTAACTTCTTTGTTTCCTATCTTTATTTCTTTCTCTTGTCTTATTGCTGTGGTTATGTTTCCAAAACTGTATTGAACAACAGTGGTGATAATAGACATCCTTGTTCCTGATTTTAGTGTGAAGCATTTTAGCATTTAGCACCAGTGTAGCTCTAGTCCATGTGGGCTTCTCCCTGGGATCTGTATGCACTTACAGATGGAATCTGGGTGGGCCTATGATTTATTTTTTGAGTGAAGTGTGTTTATGGTATACAGATATTATTGGGTTATGTTACTTTTCCATTCTGCCAGTGTGTGTCTTTTAATTAGGGAATTAAGACCATTCACATTGTGAGTTATTACTGGGAGGTATTGACTTATCCATGGCATTGCTTAATTTGTTTATTTATATTTTTTTGCTAATTCTATTTCTCTTCTACTAACTGCTTACCCTACCTAGTGCATTCATTGTATTAGACGTTCTGTCATTGCTAGCTTCATTGTTGCCTAGGATATGTTTCAGAATGTTTATGGAGTGCTGGTTTGGTGGTCATTAATAACCTTTTTTTAACTGTCATTGTTTATTACTGTTTTGGCTACATTCTCTACAATTTCAGCAGCGTCTTAAAGAGACAATGTGTCTATGTACAGTGAAAAAACAAAATGGCTTTCAACATCAGAAATAAGAGCCACAGTTTAACTGTACAATATTAAGGGGATTTTGTGGAAGTTTCTGTTTTCTGCAACATGAACAACTTACATGTAAATATGAGCATTATGAATGTGACAATAAAGAAAAATTGCTCATAGGAGTGAAACACAGCATCCTAAAAAATATTGGTTTCTACCATACAAAGCAGTTAGGAAGTATTCACATTTTAACAAACCTGTACAAACCACAAGAAACTTGTTTATGGGACGACCATCATCCCACCTTGATGGTAAGAACCTTTCTAGAAATGTTGAATAACCATAAATCTAGAATCTATATGCTCCACAGCCCTAGAACCCAGGAAACTGACTTAAAGAACTCAATATGGCCAACCTGGTTCATTTTATATGCCTTGATTGTTAGTGAATGCCCAATATCTCTTTTAATATTTCTCTATGATGTACAGTCAACTTGCACCTTCAAAGGTCATTTAATTTTTTAGCAAAGAAGCAACATCATTTAGCAGCAATTGAAGTGCCTTCAAGAAGACTTAAAAAAATACAATATCCAATTGGAAAAGCCATATTTTAAAACATTTGTACAAGAATAAGCTGCTGAACCTTTGTAATTGAAATAGGACATCTGTACAACAATTTACAATAGAGCTAGAAGGGAATTTATCATTATCCTGCATAGAACTGGTCTGCGTTTGGTTACATATTCTCTCGTTTTAATGAACAAGGCCTGCTAACAAAAGAAAAATACCTGTTAATAACTTTAACATGGTGAAAGCACTGGAGATTTTACAATTTAGTGAATTCAACTGATCCCAAAACAAAAAGCTTTTTCTGTCAAACGTGTAAAGTATCTAAGAATAAAAGGTCTCTCTTTAATATAACCAGTGGAAAGAAAAACGGACATATGATTTTGAGGTACAACTTGGTAAAAGCTAGAATAGGCAAATACTAACTCTATCCAAAGATTCTAACTTTCACATTCTATTACAAAACAATGGCTACTGTCATTCAGTTTTTACTTTAGTTTCAGCAGATTAACTGCCGAAGGCTGAAGAATGTATCCAGGCACTGTAGTTTTTGTGTTAGAAATGCCTCATAATTTTTTCCATGTTTTTTTTTTTTTGGTACTGGGGATTGAACTCGGGTCCTTGGGCTTGCAAGGAAGGCCACTGAACCACTGAGTTAAATCCCCGGGCACCATGTGTTTTTAAATAATGAAAAACTACCCTTCATATTAGAATGCTCTAGTAACAATCAAATACATTTAAGTATTATAAGCATTATGTACAATGTTCCCCCACATAAACAAACAATCCCATTTTTCTTCTATCACTACATGGTATTCCTGTCTCTGCAGCAGGCAGCAACCCCGCACTGCTCAGGGTGAGCGTGAGAGGCAAGCATTTATTCACTGTCCATGATCCACTCTCATACAAACAACGATATGAAAATTTTTTTTCCTTAACCATGTCCTGTGTTAAAAAGAAAACAAAACAAAACAAAAAAACACTGAAATTCTCTGAAAACTCAAGTGTGCATCTGGAAGCAATTCAAAGGTATCATGCCGATCCTGGAGGAAAGTCAATAAGTGATTACATTTGAAGAAGAGGGAGTGGGAGACGCTGTCAGACCAGCCATGTGTAAGTTTGCTGAAGAATTCGATCTTCTCATGTGTGGGAGAAGGTATGGATCGTTCACCAGCTGGTGCACATCAAATCGATCTTCTTTTTGGTATGCCAAACAGTGTCTTATAAAGGCCTTGGCTTCACTGCTTACAACTGGTTTTAAAGGGAACAGGACTTCTGTGGCTTTTAATATTGTATTTTCTTGAAGAATATCTTGTTGAGATTGATTGTGACCAAATAGCTTTCTACCATAGAGACAATGAAAAAACATGACCCCAACTGACCACACATCAACCTTGTTGGAAATTTTTGGTGGCTCTTTTCCAACAACAAAACATTCAGGAGGTAAATACCAGTAAGTGCCTCCTCCTTGGGAGGTTAGATCCATTCCATCTACACCATAGCTGTCACCATCCATAATTCTGGACAGGCCAAAATCAGTAATTTTGATTTTTCCACATGCTGTCCCATCTACCAGAAGGATATTGTCTGGCTTAAGATCATAATGTATAATAGGAGGTTTGATCTCATTGAGATATCCTAGTGCATTTACAATCTGCATTACAATAGACCTAGCTTCTTTCTCTGACATTAATTTGTGTTGCTTCAGATGGAAATCCAAGTCATTGCCTTCACAGTATTTTAACACTGTACAAAACGTATATGTATCCAAGGAAAAATAGTCATACAGTTTAACTACGCTGAACTGGGTGATCCAGTTCTTTGTGTATTCTGTACTTTCCGCAGGCATGTTTGTGGTAGTTTTCTTTCTTCTTATCTTTCCAGCTTTTACTAAGCTGATGGATCTTCACAGCAGCATATCTTTGTTCATATAGGTCAAAAGCCTTACACACTTCACTGAAGCCACCTCTTCCAAGTAGATGAAGTAATAAATATCTTTCATTTAACATTGGGTGATCCTTGAACTGTGCATTATCTTTATTTTTATTCTTTTGAGTTCCTGTATGTGAAAATTTCTGACTCTTTCCAAACGTTCAAGTTCTGCCTGGATTTCTGCCTCTTCCTTCTTGAGGTGTCCGAGTCTAAGTTTGAAGATTTCTTCTTGTTCATGATATTCTGCCAAAGTCAACAGTTGTGGTAAATTTGGTTTAACAAAGGGATCATTTCTGCTCCATTGACTGCTTTGTTTTTTCTTTGTTTTGGTTCAGAATTGGTAGAAGGTGCCTGAGAATTATTAGCTGTGGGAGGTTTGCATTTGCTAGAAGTTTTCTTTGCCTTTCAATATCTTCCCTTTGCTGATTCACCCATTCTTGTTGCTTCACAAGATTCTGAAATGCAAAACCATCTGTCCATTGTTCAGTAAATGATGTACCATGTCTAAATGTTGTAAAGTGCCCAAGGTGTAATAATCTATCTTGTATACTCTTCTCTCTGCTTGATTGATAGTTTTTTTGTGTGCTATTTTCAATAAGAAGTTTCTTGCTCATTGATATGCATTTATTTATTCTCTCTTTGCATTTTTCGAGTAATTTTTGTTGATCATCTATTTGCCATCTGAGATCACAATTAGCCCTGAGCAAATCATCTATGTTGGTCATTAATATCTTTAGGTGTTCTTTATTATGGATATATCTTATTTCTCCATTGATTCTGAAATATGATTTCACAGGACATATCAGCTTAGGTTAGAAATTGTTTTCTTTTAAGGCTTAAAACCCTTTGCTCCAAACTCTCCTGGCCTTTAAAGTTTGTGTTGAGAAGCTGACCATAGCAATTCTAATGGGTTTATCTTTATAAGTGATTAACTATTTTTCTCCAACCTTTTTTAAAGATTCTGTTCTTGTGTTCAACTTATGGGGTATTACTGATGATGTGTCATGGAAAGCTTCTTTTCTTATTGTGGCTATTTGGGATTCTATATGCCTCACTTTTCTGTATGTTATATTCTTTGCCCTTATTTGAAAGTTTTTTTGCTATTATTTCAATAAACAGGTTTTTTATGTCATTTGTGCTGTCATGCCATTTTTTACTAATTCCAATTAATCCTATTTACAACATCTAGGAGTTGTTGGTTGCAGGTTTTATATTGTTTTGTTGTTTTTAAGGTATCCCTCATTAATTGGTCAGTTACACAGCCCTTCTTTTCGTTCTGACATTGTGTTCTCACACTGATCATTTCTGTTGCCCATTGTTTGGATAGAATTTCAAATCTCCTGAATTCCTATTTGGAGCCCTTTGATGGACTCTCAATTCTTTTCTATGGTGGTCATTCATGTTTTTCATTACTTTGTTTAACTCTGGTAGCTTTCTATGAGTGTCTTTTGTGAACTCAATGATGTCCTTATTTGACCCAATATTTGTTTACATATATCTTCTTTGAGCTTGCTTAATTCCTTATTTACCTGTTTTATTATCTCTCTTGATATAATTTAGAGTAATATGGTGTGTGGCATTTGTTTTCCTCCTCTTCACTGCCCCTTGTATCAGCTTTGGAGGATTTGAGAGTTTTTGGAAGCAGTTTGTTAGCTTATCTTTTCATGTCTCTAGTCTTCTGCTTATTTGTTTGGTTGTGTTGAGGCTTGCACAGGAAGCTTCAATACTGATTATGCTCAAATCATGCTGTAAACAGTGCAGAGTGTAAAGAGTTAAATCTCTCAATTGGCTTATTTTAAGCAGCAAATCTGACTGAAGCCATGTGACTCACAGAAGCATCTCATGAGCACTGCAGTACCATGCAGGTCAATATGACCTCCCCACCAAAGGCCAGGGATGAGACTAGAGTAATGGCCTATGAAGCTGTGAGGCCAATATGAGATAACATGTGTAAATGAGGTTGGGGTAATACACAAATTCCATTCCCACAATTACTGCCTGCATAGCTAGACAATGCTCTAATCATAAGCATATATTTTGTGCATCTTGCTTCTAATTTGAAAATGTTTTGTCCCTTTTCTTTAAAACTTACCTGCATTAATTTCTATTGTAATTGCATGTACTGCACATCTATACATGTATTATACCTTTACCCCAATTGATGAAAAATAAAATTTAGTGGATGTCACTGACTGGGGTCTGTTGCTATGGATACAGCATTTGCCATAGCAGTCCTCTCTTCTCTCTTAGTTCTGTTTTGGTGTATTTTTTTTTCAACCTTGTATTGCATACTGAGCATGTGGGGACTAGAGACTTTCTGCAGGGATCTCTAGCAAGCTTGCAAAATGATTGTAGCGAAAAGCTTTGTTTCTAGTATGGAAACCTCTTTAGTTGATATTTACTTTTCAGTGGTGTCCTCCTGGCATTGCTAACTAGTGGCCTTCACTTCTGATCCAGGATCCAATCACTTCTGTTTACTATGGGTGGGTGGTTGAAGCATACCCATTTTTCTAGGAATGGGCCAAAGTATTGTTAATGACTCCAAAGCAATACAGATATTGGAATCCTGAGAGAACTAATTAATGCAACAGCTATGTCATCTTGGCTATAGTAATAAAATCAGCATGAATTATAGCATTAAATACAAATTGAATATTGACAGAGCCTAAAGAACAATAATGTACTATCCTTATCCACAGAAAAGAGAACTGTAATTGTAGTATGAACACTAAAACAAAGCAGACATTGAGCTGTTATAGACAAACAGTAAATATCTACTAAATGGAATAACTTTATATCTCCTAAAAATAAAATAGTATTTAATAGTCATCACATAAATTTAACTACTTAGGGATTAATAAAGCTCAGTAGTTACACCAGTAAAGGTAGAATGGGTGAAGCAGAGAATGAAAAGAAAAACAAATTTAAAAAATTCACCAGTGGGATATGACAAGGAGGAGAGAAATGTGAGATGACATAGGTGCCCTATTGAGGAGGAAAAGGAAACTAGTAATGTTAGACAATAGTCAAAGGAAAGAATGACAAAGGAAAAAAGATAAACAGAGACCAACATAGAAGAAGTAAAAGAAAGATAAGGAAAAGAAAAAGCTTGACAGGGGAAAAGTGAAAAGGAGAGAAAAGAAACAAAAAGAAAAAAAAATTGAAAAAGGAAAACAAAATCATAACCCCCGAAACACCTGGATAAAGGAAAGATACAAATAAAAAAGAGAAAGACAAAAGACTGAATGAAAGAAAAAATACTTTGAGAAAATGAAAAAATGGAAATAAAGTATTTGTAAATAGGGAAGGGAGGAGGGGTGAAGGGAGGGCAGGGACAAGAGGAAAAAATGAGAACCAAGATCTGTCGTGTAAAGGTACAAGATCCCAATGATGAATGTAACTGTACTGTATACCTAAAAGGTACCAATAAACTCAATGAGGAAAAAAATTCTTGTTTTTAAATGAGTCATTTGTTTCAAAGATCTACAGTCTTGGGAACCAGACAGTCATGGTTTTCTTCACTTAGCATGAGGTGCCCTCTCTGCATCATAGGCCCCTCTGTCTGTTTTCCCTATATATTATGGTCACTGTTCAAGCCAATGTGTGTCCCTGCTCTCATTGGAAGATGGGAAGTACATGCAACCCTCTAGTCTCTGCTGGATGTGAGCCATATGGGGTTGGGTTTCAAGTGAACTGGTGGACTTTAATAGTTGCAGGTTCTGGTTGCTTTTTTCTGTTCACAGGCATTGTTTTCATTGAGAATTAGGTCAGTTGCTTAGTCCTCACTTCTGCTACCCTATGCCAAGGGGAATGCAAATGTAGAGCCCACTTGGAGTTGGTTGATGGTTGCTCCCTTGCATGAGGGGTGTGTGTGTGTGTGTGTGTGTGTGTGTGTGTGTGTGTATGTGTGTGGATGTGCTCTGTGGTCTGGTGTGGGCCTACTTGTTCATGTCGAGAGGGCTATGTTTGATTTAATTTTTTCTTTCTTTTTAAATCATTTTAATTCCATGAATGAGATAATTCAGGATAGTACTTTACTTAGTGTTTGGAAGTTGATAATTCTCAGCCAGTATCCTATCTACTTTGGAACCTAACTTGGTTTAGACTAGTTACAAATGATAAATGCCTCATATGATGACAAATTCATGAGTCCTTCTAAATATTACAGGAAATTCATAGATTCAAGAGAACATAGCTTAGAAATAGATTTAACTATTGTATTTTTCCCTCAGAGTTGCCTGACAGAGGCAACTCAATATGCTGGCTACTCAATATGATTTCAAAGTGGAGTCTCAGAATCCAGTTGGAATGATGTTGTTTATAATTAAATCCCCAATGAAGACAATAGTTCCTTGTCTTAAAGATATCCAGTGCCAGTCATTTTATAAACTCATTTGATACCCTATTCAGCCTTTTAAGTCACCTTTATCATTAAGAGTCTTTCTTTAAGATTACCCTGAACAGAACAGGGCAGCATGCACATGTATTTCTACCATCTCCAGCAGGAGGGAGAAGAATCACTTTGGCCTAGGAGTTGGAGGCCAGCTGGGACAATATCTCAAGAATGAAAGGGGGGGGAGAGAGGAAGGAAGGAAAGAAGGAAAGAAAGAAAGAGAAAGAAAGAAAGGAAGGAGGAAGGAAGGAAGGAAGGAAAGAGAAAGAAAGAAAAAGAAAGCAAGCAACAGATTATTCCAATTTTCTTTTGTAATGTAAGTTTATTTGTTCCTCTTTTTTGTCTACTTCTTTTATTAGCATCTCTACTTTCTTCTGTTCTTATTCCTCATGAAATAGCCAATATTCTTACCTTCTGGTTTGGCTGCTGTGGGAGTGTAAAGATAGACTTCCAGTAGGTCCAGGCAAAAAACACAAAGATGGCATGGTAGAGTATGAGGTAGATAGCTGAAATTTTAAAAAAGGTGTTTATATTAACTATTTGTCCATTCAAAAAGACAAAGCTCAATGACAAATTTCTACCTTGTTTCCATATTATCACATGTTCTCTGGTATTATTATGATATATTAATTGCTACCATTTTCCCATGCACTAAAATAAGTCAAAATGCCAAATTTTGAAACAAGGACTTTCTGGAATCTACACGCTTTACATACTGCCTTAAGATTTTGAGAATACATGGGAAAATGTCCTTTGTGACAATATAGGACAAGCTACTTTAACTAATTTTCATTTCACTGCCACTGTGATGCTAAAAAATGATAGTTATATAATTTGCACAACACTTTAGAGTTTACAACATGCTCCTGTATTTTTCAATAACTTTGTAAGATATGTTAATAGTATAGGATGGTTGATTAACTACTGAGGTAGATGATTAAACAAAGTAATACAGTTAATCAATAATGGACCCAGGTATTAAACACAGGTCTTTTGATTCTAAGTCACAAGATTTTGTCAATAGTCTCAAAGACTACACACTTTTGAAGGTAAGGTGTACCTTCACAACAGTTGTAAAAATGGCCATCCACCACCTTTCCTGTCATAATTGCCTCTTAATTAGCTCTTCTCTTTGATATGGAAAATTTTGTTGTTCTCTATAGAAGTGGGTATACAGCTGAAGGTCAGGTTACTGTTTCAATGTGTGTCTTTGAATGATACAGACTTATTACTTTAATCCATCGGAAAACCTTAAGGAAATAATGTGATTCAAGACCAAGTTAACAGGGCTGAGTCTCTCCCTACATTTATGGCTGAATTATTTTCTTAAAAGCCTTTTCCCAGTGCTCCTAGCCTCACAGTACATGATCTTTTCATGTGTGCTTAATTTTTAAAATTATGATATATCTTTTTACAATTCAAGCAATATAAAGTAAAAGTTGTCCACCCCCCACATTATTCCTATCTCCCACCTATACCTAAGGTATAACACCTTTTTAAAAGAACTATAATGAAAAATAGTTTTAAAATATTAGAAAAATCCATGTTTCATGTATGCATATACTTATATGAACATATAAAAATGTGAAAATCCAAAATAATTTACACCTGTTCTGAAAAGCAATACATTCACAAGGCTCAAATTTTAAAGATAGAAAAATATACAGCCAAGTCTCTCATTTATCCCTATTCCTTACCCACCCAAGTTTCCTTCCCCGGGAGACTCCAATGTCACAAGGCTAATACTTTATTGTGTGTTCTTTCAAATGTCATATTCATAAAACCAACTATTTAGTATATTTTTCAAAAGATAGTATTCTGCACACACACTTTTGCAACATACTTCTTTTACTTTAAATTGGAAATTATTTCACTTAATATAACTTGGAGTGAATTTTCTGTCATTTTTTCCTTTTAAAAATTTCACTGAGTATTTTTAATGAATTAATCTTTGTACAAAACAAATATTTCATTAATTTAAAACATCAACCTTAGTTTCAATTACTGTTGATCTGATTTTATTAAAACTGAACTGCTCTGCTGATGTGTCAGTTTCAACAGTCACTCGGCTGCCTTTGATCAATTTCAGTGAAACTTTCTAGAAGAGTAGCCACATACTTGCTCTTAGTTGTAATTAAAACACTTCACAAAGCTAACCATATAACTAGCTGTCTCTTGTCCACTTTTTCATCCAGCTACCTTCTTTGTTAAGAGTTAATTATGGTAGTTACCTTCTTTGAGGAGTACTTCCTAAAGTACCTATTTAGGTTAGGTTTCCCCTTAGTAAGCATAGAAAACCTAAATAAAAATTTACCAACTCTCTAAATTCTCAAGAACAGAAGTATCTGGTAACTCATTTTCTAGGCCCTACTCTGTCTCTCTTAGGCAGAAGTTATATTTCTTACTCTTAGAAAAAAAGAACAGAAATATCTTCTTTCTTTGTATCCCCGGTGCCTAACACATGATTAATATTGGCTTAGTGGTACAGTGTTTGTTTAGCATGTGCAAGACCTTGGATTTCATTTCCAGCACAAACAAGAAGAAAGAAAGAAAGAAAGAAAAAGCTCTTAGGATAGCAGTTACAAAAGGCTAGGGCATGCCTTCCTATCAATCATGGGCTAAGGAACACCTACCCATCAATCACTAAGGGTCCAGATACTGACTAAGCACCTGGCTGTCTAAATCCCAGACAATAACACTTCAAGGTTGATGAAGCTAGACAATTTGGACCACCTCATGGTTGAGAATTAAACTCTTGCACTTAACAGCATTTTAAGAGTATTGACTATATATATATTTTTTTTTAATTAATTAATTAATTTTTTTGTACCAGGGATTGAACTCAGGACCTCACACTTGTGAGGCAGGCGTGGTGCCACTGAACTAAATCCCCAGCCTTTTTAATTCCAATGGCTTAGATGGGAATTATGGGACTTTAAATTGGTCCAGGTTGTATGACACCTGGTTCAATTATGGAAATGAAAAATTTAAGGTCTCATTTCCGTATTCCAGTAATTCATATGCTTTTACATCAGTGAAAAATTAAGGATCTTGAGGAGACAAATAACTAAGTCAAAGATATTTAGTAGGTTCATGAAATAGGCACTATACATTGTGTAAAATTTTAGTGTTGGGGGAGACTCCAGAGATAATCTACTTCAGTGCCCTCATTTCATGGAGAGGTAAGTGCGGCCCAGACAGGGCAAGTGAATTGATCATAGTTACACAAAAAGAAGTCATAGAAACAATGGAACTGGAATTTGGACGTTTTCACTCCTATTCCAGAGCTCTTTTCCTTCAAGTAGGGATCGTCAAATTTCAGTTTGTATCCAAATCACCCAAAGGAGTCATTAGAATGCAAACTACTAAGCGTAATATAAAATGAAGTCAAGAATCTAGTAACTCTCTGTGGTCATTCACAGGTATAAAAACTATGATGAAGAAATAGACCTTGTAGATCTTTTAGTTATCCAGACTACCTTTCCAAGGAGGGAGCTCTAATTCAATATCCTGGCAGGCAATTATTTAGACATAAGCAGGCCGGAGGAACAAATGGGGAGGGTAATTCAAAATAGCCTACATTGCCAGTTAAGTAAAGAAACAAAGAGACGTCAATATATAATACATTTGTAACAATTTCTTAGGTCTCAGATATAAAGCCATCCTTCTAAGAACATTGAACTTTTAAGGCTATACATTGTGCACATTCCTTCTGAGGCCTGGCCATCTGGCAACCTAACTCCAGAAAAAGGCATATTGCATTCTTGGTTGCTGTAGCCTACAGTCCAATTCTTTTTTTTTTTTTTTTTTTTTTTTTTTTTTTTGGTAATTTTTTTTTTTTTTTTGTACTCGGGATCGAACTCAGGACCTTGCGCTTGCAATGCAGGTAGCAGAACCACTGAGCTAAATCCCTGGCCCTACAGTCCAATTCTTTAAATGTGAAATGATGATTTGAGGTAAATAGGCCCCTCTATTTCCTTGGAGCAAGTTTTGAATAATTTTTTTTTTTTTTACTTTTTCACCAAAATAAATGGTCTTTAATTTTGTCAGCAGCTAGCAAATGAACATGAGAGGATAATAGGAAGGTGACTGGTGTTTGAAGAGTGGATCTGCCATTTAATAACTGTGCTGAGAAGCTGGTTAACCCTGGCAATAATCATGTGTATGTGTATAAAATCATATATATGTACATGTGTGTTTATGTGTACATATAATATATGTATAATATAGTATTACAGATATGCATATGTAACATATAAAATTAAAGTAACTCCCCTACAGTGTTGTGAGAATTGACTTAAATGTGTGGAAGCATCTGATATATTTTAAGAATTTAATAAACATTATTTTCCCTCCACTTCCTCTTAAATATCAGTGATTTATTTTCTAAGATAGGAAGATAAAAATTACATAGAATTGAGGGACAGAAACATCATGGCTTTGTTAAAAACACAATGGTTTGTTTTTAGTACTGCTCGTGATGTCCACTCGTTGATTCATTCATCTTGGGTATAAAGAAATACACAAGGCAACGTCCTTTGGGGAATATTTGGATTGGACAGTTGTGATAGTATTATTCTGCACATATAATTCATATTAAATATAGTCCACTGTCTCCATATTGTCAGGAATGTTCGTAATGAACTGAAAATTGGAACAGACAATCTCTGTTGTACACATGATGGCTAGAGATTTATGAGTCAACACTCACTGGTTGGGAAACTGACAGGGGTTCTACAAATTGCAGGTTGGCTCCTTTGGAAGGCATCACCTTTTGTTGATGCAACCAATAAATCATCTATCTTAAAATGATGCTGACTTGATTTATTTTAGTAGCATACAATTTTAGTTGTAAGCAACCTTAGATGCTACTTGGTACAGTATCTAGAAGATACATGACGCTGCTTTACATTATTACTAAAAATTGGTCACTTGGCTTATGTTTGAACACCTGAAGTAATGGGGTAAATATCATCTCCTGGAACAGCCTGAGACAGTCCTACAGAATAGAAATATGCCTACTTCTGCCGGGCATGGTGGCACACACCTGTAATCCCAGCACTTGGGAGGCTGAGGCTGGAGGATCACTGTGAGTTCGAGACCAGCCTGGACTACATAGTGAGTTCCAGGTCAGTCTCAACTACAGTGAGATCCTGTCTCAAAAAAAAAGCCTACTTTCCATTGATCCTCCCATTGATCCTAATTTTGTTCTATGGGGAGAAATCTGATTTGCTTTAAAAAATTAAAAAAAAAACTTGTATCCAGACACTTAAAGATCACTTACAATTTAATAATAAGACAAAATCTCAATAAAAACGGGCAAAAGACTGAACCAGTCACTTCAAAAAAAGATGTACAGATGGCAAACAAGTACATGAAAAGATGCTTAACATCACTTGTCATTCACCAGGTATAAATTAAAATCACAAGGAGATACCAGTTCATAGACAAAAGAATTACAGCTGGGCATGGTGGTGCACGCCTGTAATCCCAGTACTTGGGAGGC